ACCTTGAGGCGCCGGCACACCTGGTTCTAGTCCCGGTCGGGGTGCCGGATTCTGTCCCAGTTGCCCCTCTTCCAGGCCAGCTCTCTGCTGTGGCCAGAGAGTGCAGTGGAGGATGGCCCAAGAACTTGGGCCCTGCACCCTATGGGAGACCAGGATAAGCACCTGGCTCCTGCCTTTGGATCAGCGTGGTGCACTGGCCGCAGCGGCCATTGGAGGGTGAACCAATGGCAAAAAGGAAGACCTTTCTCTCTCTCTCTCTCTCTCTCTCACTGTCCACTCTGCCTGTCAAAAAAAAAAAAATACGAAATTATTCATGATGCCCTTTACTTACAATTTGGAGAGAGGTGCTAAGTCTAGTTCCAGGTATTTATAATGCCACAGTATGGAAACTGATTGTGAATCCTAATGTGGGAATGGTACTATATTGGCAAAATCGGTCACTGAAGTTGAAGATAGGGAAAAAGTTGGTTGTGGAGTATTCTTTCTGGGAATGGCAACTGTTACTTTTATTTCTTTTTAATTGTTGTTTATTTAATTGAGAGGCAGAAGGAGAGAGAAAGCCTCTATCTTTTCAGTTTCATTACCCAAATTAGCTAGAAAATGAGCCAGTTTCATTACCCAAAGGAGCCAGAAATCCAGTCTGGGTCTCCTCAGTGGATGCGAGGGACCCAACTATTTAGCCACTGTCAACTTCCTGCCTCCCAGAATGTGCCTACGCGTAAAGAAGGAATCAGGGGTAGAGCCAGGACTTGAACCCAGGCCCTCCAATGTGGGATCTGATGTCCCAACTGATGTCTCAACTGCTGAGCCAAATGCCTGCCCCCCAGCCTTTTAAAGACCTTCTCATTTGTTTATTTATTTGAGAGAAAGAAAGGAAGGGAGGGAGAGAGAGAGCAGTTATTTCTTTTATAAAATAAGACTTGGCCTCTGATACCAGCAGACCCATGACTAGGACTCCAGGTTGCTAAGAAGAATCAAGCCTCCTTTCTTGTTCGTCCCTCTCCACAGACCTGCTGTGAGCCTGGGTTGCGTGAGTGGAGGCAGCGGGTTGGAAATGTCTTTAGTGGAAGCCAGGAACAAGGATGCCCTGAGGTCCTTAAGTCTCGCTCCTTAGCTGTTCCTCCCAGGTTGGAGTTACAGCTGGATGCCCCCAATCCAGTAACTTTGTTTTACACACAGGGAACTACAGCCAAAAAGAGATCACATGAACTTCTCAAAGTCACACACTAACTGGGGACAAAATCAAGGGTAGAACCAAAGGTTCCTATGAAGCAGCAAAATGCGGTGGAAAGAACACACTGGGAGTTAGGCAGCTTTAGTCTGAATTCTGATACTGCCACTTACAGGGACTTAGTGGATACTGGATCTCTCTGAATTCCATCTTTATCTGTAAGACTGGAATAAAATACCTCATTGTGTAACTTTCCTGAGGTTACCATAACAGCTGACCACAAACTTTGTGGCTCACAACAGTAGAAATTTATTCTTTCAGAGTTCTGGAGGCCAGAAGTGCAAAACTCCAGGTGTCAGCAGAGGCATGCTCCCCCTGGAGCCTCTAAAAAAAGGAAGCTTTCCCTGCCTCTTGTCAGTGTCTGGTGGTTGCTGGCGGTCCTTGGGGTTTTTGGTTTATGGCTGCTTCCTTGTGATCTCTGCCTTGGTTGTCACACGATCTTCTTCCCTGTACTTACATATGTTTGTGTCTTGTCTTCACGTGGACTTTTTATAAAGACATTAGTCACTGGATTAGAGTTCACTCTCACGCAGCATAAGCTCATCTTAACGGATTGGTTCTGCAAAGTTCTTATTTCCAAACAGGGTCATATTCTAGGATCTTCATGAAATTCGGGAGGGACACTTCTTAACCCAGTATACTTGCATATAGGACTAATGTAAAGTTAGATAATCTACTCATTTAAATTACCTAGTATGGTAGGTAGGTTTATATGAAATTTTGAGGGAACACTATTTAATCCAGTGTACTTGTGTTTAGGACTAATGTAAAGGTTAAATAATATAATGCATTTAAATTACCTAGCTTAGTTGCTGGCACACAGTAAAATGTTCAATACATGCTAGTTCTCTTTCTTCTTCTCCAATTCTAGTCTTGTGGCTTTCTTAATTGGCTACTGGAGAACTCCTCTAGACCTTGAGCTCACTCTGCTTTCATGGAGCATCAGAGGGTTGACTAGCTGCAGTTGTTTTATGTACAGTCCTGTCATTATATCGTTTCCACTTTCTAGGTGACAGATTTCAAGCAGCTTTCCTGTAAACCTACTTGGAGAAAACAACGGCAAAGACTGCAGATAACAGTAGTAGAAGAAGGGCTTCTTTTCACTTACTTAGTGAAACAACGTATATCCAGTTTTTTTTAAAGATTTATTTGAAAGGTAAAGTTACTGAGAGGCAGAGAGAGAGAGAGAGAGAGAGGGAGAGAGAGAGAGAGAGAGGGAGAGAGAGAGATACAGGTGTTCCATGCACTGGTTCACTCCCAGAATGGCCAGAATGGCTGGAGCTGGGCCAATAGAAAGCCAGGAGCCGGGAGCCTCTTCTGGACCTCCCACGTGGGTGCAGAGGCCCAAGGACTGGAGGCATCTGCTTTTCTCAGGCCATAGCAAAGAGCTGGATTGGAAGTGGAGCAGCTGGGACTTGAACCGGTGCCCACATGGGACACTGGCACTGCAGGTGGCAGTTTTACCCGCTACACCACAGCACTGGCCCCAGTATTTCCAATATTTATAAGAGTGATATGAAAAAGAGAAATACTTTTACTGTTGTTAGGGTTCTGTTAACCAGCATTACCTTCTCTAAAACTCAGCTAACTATTAGACTTTTACTTAGTTAATATCAGTACTGAGAATCTGTTCCAATCTAATAATTTGATATGTGGAAGACACTGCAAATGCTCTGAAAAACCTGAATTATATAAGCAAAAATTAGAAACAATATCAATATATAATAATAGGGGTAGTTTAGGTAAACTGGTTTGTCCATTTGAAAGAACATTACACTGCTACTAAGACATGTGCACGAGAAGAACAGCTATCATACACAAGAGGGCTTCAAAAAGTTCATGGAAAATGAAATTAAAAGGTAATGCATGTTCATCATAATTTTTGAAGCCCTTCATACTGTTAATTGAAAATAATTAATAATTACAAATGCACTCATATGTCTTTATAGGCAGCAGATGGGGTGATGTCAACATAACAAAATTTTTTCCATGTTATAAATTTTCTATCATTTAAACATATTTCTAATTTTAAATAAGAAACCAACAATATGAGGAAATAAGCCCCAATTGTCTCTGCTGACATAATAAGAATGAGAGGAGCTGTAGAAAGTCTAGTTCACCTGTTGATGGTGTAGAAACTGTTGGCTTTAGGTGGAGGCAAGGGTTATTTCTCCAATGGACTAGGACAAATCTATACTGTAAGAAGAGCCAATCAGAGGACGCCTACCTCCACTGCTAGTGAGCTTAACTCATGAGTTATGGGGTCAGCAATGGACTTCTGACTGTAGTAAAGACCCTCTCGTCCATGAAGGTGACTCCAGGTAGCTGAATGTTAATTTGTGGAGGATACCACCTGCATGAAGAAAAAATATTTAAAGATAAAACAAGATAGTTCAACAGCAACAAATTGTGAAATTTATTGGTTGGTTTTACATTTGTTTTTTATGTTTTTGATGAAAACATACTAGGCTTTTGTTTCCTTGATAAGTAAGGAAAAAAGTGAAGGTTATCAACGAGATATTTAAGTTTAAAGATTATTCCAGGTTCCTTTGGCCTGTGAGTATAAGTTTAATGGTGATAACATAACCTTAATGATTTAACTCTCTGATAGTGGTAAAGTCAAAGAATTCATAGTGCTTTGCATCAATTTTATTTCCTTGGGTGACTTTGATTAGTTTACAAAAATATTTCAGTGATTACTACTACCATCTTAGACTTGATTTCTTGTGAAAGGGGACATCTGATGAAAAAACTTTCTATATTTCAAATTAAGATAATTTTAATGTATTTAAAAATTAAGTAAAGCATGTTCTTAAGTTTGTTTTTTCTTGAAGTGTGTGTGTGTTTAAAGATTTATGTATTCATTTGAAAGGTGGAGTTACAGATAGAGAGAAAAGAGAAAGAAAGGTTTTCTATCTGCTGGTTCAACCAGCAGTATCTATCTGGTTCACCCCCAAATGACTTCAACAGCTGCCAGGAGCTTGGCACTTCATTCCAGTGTCTCACATGGGTGGCAGGGCCCCAGTACTTGGGCTGTCTTCTGCTTCTCTTCTGGGTCATTAACAGGGAGCTGAATCTGAAGTGAAGCAGCCCAGACACGAACCTGCTTCCCCACGGGATGCTGAGGTGGCAGGCTGCAGCTTAACTTGTTGTGCCACAACGCCAGCCCCAAGTCCTTAAGTTTAAATTCCATTGAATACTCTCAAAGAAGTGGCTCTCAACATTAAATGAGCACAAGAATCACCTGGGAAGTTTTCTAAAATGCTTCTAGACCTTAACCTCAGCACCTTGGGGTATGGTTTGGAGATCTTTGAAAGAAGGAAGGCATAATATTCTGACACAGGGATGCTAATATTCATACTTTTGGAAAAATGATAACCGCATGAAGACATATGAGCTGAAAAGGGTTTTGTTTAAATATTTGGGATTGAGGGACCAGTGCTGTGGTGCAGTGGGTTAAGCCACCACCTGCAGCACTGGCATCCCATATAGATGCCAGTTAGAGTCCCAGCTACTCTACTTCCAATCCAGGTCCCTGCTAATGTTCCTGGGAAAGTGGTGAAATATGGTCACTTGGGTCCCTGCCACCCACATGGGAGACCCAGAGGAGGTTCCTGCTGCTGGCTTTGCCCTGACCCAGTCCTGGATGTTGCGGACATTTGGGAGTGAAGTAGTGGTGGACGATTCTCTCTCTCTCTCTCTCTCTCTCTGTAACTTTGCCTTTCAAATAAATCAGTAAATATTTTTTAATGGGATTGACTGCGGGGGAAACAGGACACACAGCAGACCCGTAGAATGGCAGCACTCCTGCCTCAGAATCAACCCTTGGGACATTCGGATCTGGCTAAAAGGTCCATGAGAGTCTCACAGGCATGGAAAGCCATGACACGGTGGCAAAAAAAACAATCTAAATGAAAGATCCTGGTGAACAAGACTCCAGCAGAAGGAACAGGCCATCAAGGAGAGAGGCGCCTTTCTCTGAAGGGAGGAAGGAACCTCCACTGTGATACGGCCTTGACTAAACAAGTTCAGAGTCGGTGAACTCAAGGGTTTTCCATGGCCTAGACAGCTCATAGCTAGAGTCTCGGGTGATTGCTGACGTCATAAATAAGAGTGCCAATTGTTAAATCAACAATGGGAGTCACTGGGTACATGCTCCCCATGAAGGATCTCCGTCCTTAATGTGTTTTACTATGAAACTTAAAAACAACACTACTAGTCGAACAATACCCTATACCTTGAGCGGTTGTGTGAGTACAGCCTGTTGAAATCCCTGCTTAGTATATACTAAGTTGATCTTCAGTATATGAAGGTAATTGAAAATGAAACTTGATGAAGGGCAGGATGGGAGAGGGAGTGGGAGAGAGGAGGGCCACGAGAGGGAGGGAGGTTTTGGGGGGAAGCCACAACAATACAAAAGTTGCACTTTGTAAATTCACATTTATTAAATAAAAAAAACTATATAACAAGCAAAAAAAGAAAAGAAAAAGAACTTAATACTTTACCCTTTTAGTATTTTTTATGTTCTACTTAAAACTATTGGTTGAACTGTGTAATTAATACACAATTACTCTTAGATGTTTAATTAATGCTATGACTAGTACTCAAATAGTATTTTACACTTTGTGTTTCTGTGTGGGTGCAAACTGTTGAAATTTTTACTTAATATATGCTAAATTGATCTTCTGTATATAAAGATAATTGAAAATGAATCTTGATGTGAATGGAAGGAGAGAGGGAGTGGGAGAGGGGAGTGTTGTGGGTAGGAGGGAAGTTATGGGGGGGAAGCTATTGTAATCCATAAGCTGTACTTTGGAAATTTATGTTCATTAAATAAAAGAAAAGAAAAGAAAAGAAAAATATTTTTAATGGGATTGAACATTAATTTAATCACTGAAAGAAACCCAACCAATAAAAATGAAAAAAGCATTAAGAAAGATTTGGTGTGGACTTCCAAAATAAGGTTTTACTTTTCCTTTTAGGGAAATATGTAAGTAAAAGTCATCACCATGTTGTAGATGATATCAACTCTTCCATTCCTAGCACATTTTTGACACGTAATCCAATTATTTCACAATATACTTACACATGGTGAGGCAATGTTCTTTTTGTTTTATGAGCTGAAGATTGTCAATTATGTCAAAAGTTAGAGGGAAATTAGTAAGAAATGCACTCAGCTATAGTAATTTCAATATTATTATCACATGTGATTGCTTTCACACAATCAAGTTTTAGAATCTGGATTCTGATAGTGGAGTGTCCATTGTAAAAACCACATGTAGGGGCCGGCGCTGTGGCATAGTGGTCAAAGCTGCCACCTGCAGTGCCAACATCCCATATGGACACCAGTTTAAGTCCTGGCTTTTCCTCTTCCGATCCAGCTCTCTGCTATGGCCTGGAAAAGCAGTAGAAGATGGTCCAGGCCTTTGGACCCCTGAACCTGTGTGGGAGACCTGGTAGAAGCTCCTAACTACTGGCTTTGGATCAGTGGAGCTCAGGCCGACCATTGCAGCCAATTAAGGAGTGAACCATCAGATGGAAGACCTCTGTGTCCCTCTGCCTGTGCCTCTGCCTCTTTGTAACTCTGCCTTTCAAGTACATAAATAAATCTTTAAAAAAACCACATGTAATTGTGTTGCTAAGACTGTGTTGTAACATTCATTTATCCTATAATAAATAGTATACACTTAAACAGTAGTGTGTATGCTATGAGGAAATAATGAGAGTTTTTCTTTGTGGATGAATTCATTCTTTGTGAATGAATTTTTAAGTATGTCAGACCTTCATAATTTTCTTTCTGGAGAATACAATAGATAGCTTTAAAAATATTTTAAGAGTTAAACCTGGCATTTTTTTTCTTATCAAATTATACACCATAGTACAATAACGGTAGAATATATTAAGGCACTTTTTTTTTTTTTTTTTTTTTTTTTACAGGCAGAGTGGACAATGAGACAATGAGAGAGAGAGACAGAGAGAAAGGTCTTCCTTTTCCATTGGTTCACCCCCCAATGGCGCTGCGGCCGGCGCATCGTGCTGATCTGAAGCTAGGAGTCAGGTGCTTCTCCTGGTCTCCCATGCGGGAAGGCACTCATTCTTAAACTTTTATGCGTAAGAGTGACGTGCTGTATATAATATGTTTTTTAATATCCAGATTCATGAGCCTCCATTTCAATTCATTAACTCTTGGACCAGGTCTCAGAATTTAACAAGCATTCCAGGTACTTTCCATGCTGATGGTTTGTCTTTCATACTTTGATGGATTACTCCTCTAAGGAATTGTGTAAAGTAGCTTTTGAGTGACGTAGGCTTTAAAACTTTTGGAGAAACTTACTTTGAACCTTAATTAGGGGGTGGTTAGCCATGTAAAAGAAACATTGCAAAGTTTTCAAACGTGGATTCAGCATTTGGATGTGGTGTTTGGATGGCCACGGGGAACAAGTACATCATCTTATTTCCTTTGGGAAAGCCACATGTTGGAAAATCAGGCTTGTGGCAAGACCAGATGTTATCAGGATATCCAAAACCGTGATGGGATAACCAAAGCCACTATGAAGTTCAATGATCATTGGTACTTGTTTTATGCTACATACTGTTCTAAGCTTCTTAATATGCATTGATTTATTCAGTTCTACAACTATCCTGTAAAGTAGATATTGCTTTTTTGCACATTTAAACATGGGGAAAGAGAAGCAGTGTGAAGTAATCCGTCCCTGCTCTAGCTGTAAGAAACAGCCAGGATTGTTGTGAACCTTAGCAGTCTGACCTGGGCTTTCCCCCTGGACTAGAGTACCAGTAAATGGCTGCTTTTATGAAAACTCATTTGTGTTTCAGTGATTTAACAAAAGGATTTTTATCTTAAGACATGAGCCTTGAATGGCATGCAACTAAGAGCTTTTTGATCTAAAAATCCTTAGATTTCTAGAGAAGACCACCGTGGGAAAGAAACGAAAGTGATGGTAAAGGCATTTACTTAAGTAGTAAATTGCTGATGTAATAAGGAATAGGTCCAAATTCTTATGCAGGGATCACCAGGCTCAAATAAAAAAAAATCAGGAGGTCTGTGCCCCCTTTTGGATATTCTAGAGGAAAATCCTCTTCCTTGCTTTTTCCAACTTTTGGAAAGTTGGCTCATGACTCCCTTTCTCCATCTTCAAAGTCAGTGATGACAGGTTGATTAATTTTCATATCACTTCACTCTGATCTTCTCTTCTCTGTTCTCCCAATTTTAAGAACTCTGGTCATTATACTGGACCAGACAGTGGAGAATGATCTCCTTGTTTTAAAGTTAGCTCATTAGGAATCTTAGTTCTGTCTGCAACCTTAGTTCCCTTCTGCCTTGTCACCCGACATAGTCACAGGTTGCAGGAAGAATGGCTTGGATATGAGTATATTTGGGGTGTGGAGGGCTGAGTATCTTTCCTGCCTACCACAGCTTTCTAAAGAGTAAGGGCATTGAGAAATGGGGGCTTGTTCCAGCACGTGGGGCTCAGTCATTCAAGACTGGCTGTTTGACTTGGCAGGCAAGGGGCTCCTGGCAGTGACAGATGCTGGCTGAGCAATAAGGGTAGAAGGACTGTGAGCTGAGTAGCAGCTGGGAAAGGGTGAAATTGTTTCACACATAGAAAGTCTTGGAATCCTTGTTGTCTGAAGACTCCTCACTCTCTCTGCATGGACCTAATTGAGTTACTTCTGATGTTTATATAAAGGAAGGGACTTAGAGTTTTCCTTTTGCTAAGGGCAAGTCACTCTGCTCACCAGATCAGGAATAGAGGGAGAGGTGGGGAGAACTACTTGCAGAGTTGATTAAAAGAGGAGGAAATGCAAGTCAAGTATGTCTTTGATTGACACTGAGCCTCCCTTCGCTCTCTACCTGCCTACCTACTTGCCTGGCTGCCTGCTGGCTTTCAAAAGAGTGCTGTTGATGTGTTTTGGGAAGTCATGATTATATAAGCACTGTTTTTATCTACACAGATTACATGTCCTTAGCACCAAAGCTGGGCTCACTCTAACAGAAAGCAACACAAATAGAAAGAGCAAAACTTCATCCACATTCACATTTAAATCTTATATTGTATCCTTCCAATAAGAGCTAAAGCATCAGGCCAAAAGCACAGGATTGGAGATAAGGAGGTGTTACAGAATATGCTTAAAAATGATACTGTTGTCTGTTGGAGGCTTCTGTTTTTGAACTTAAGAAAAGTGAAAGTGATTGGTTGAGTCCCAAGAGAAGAATCACGTGAGCTTCTAGTGAAAAGAAATCCACAAGGCATTAGTTATCTAGTTGGTACTAGATAGATCATGCAACAAAACTGTCTGCACATTGTTAAAGGACTTTACATTTTCTTTTCCAAACAGATCTAAAACTCTCTTAGGTCACTTTACATGCCTGTGGAATTCCTGTTGTTTAGTGACTGCATAGACTGAAACTGGGGCTTGTCTGTCATAAAGTCGTCAGCTATGGAATGGAAAACATATGTTGAATAGAAGTATCACAGCCCCTTGAAGGGAAGAGGAAGCCACAAAGTGTATCAGAATGTGAAATGTAGGCAGCAGCTGCTACACTGGGGACAGAAAGTGTATCTATCTCTGACACAGCATGGAGAGGATGAGTACCAGGAGACACATCATGCTTGAACACAGAGAGTGCCTTTCATTCTCTTTTCTTCAATACAAACTACCCATTTTTGCAATCATACTTGGGTGCAAGCAGGCTTCTGGTAGAGATCTGCACAAATTTTCTTATTTTTTTTTTTAAGATTTTTTTTTATTTGAAAGTCAGAGTTACATAGAGAGAGAAAGAGAGGCAGAGAGAAGTCTGCTGGTTCAGTCCCCAATTGGCTGCAACTGCCGGAGCTGTGCTGATCTGAAGCCAGGAGCCAGGAGCCAGGAGCTTCTTCTGGGTCTCCCATGTGGGTGCAGGGGCCCAAGAACTTGGGTCATCTCCCATGGCTTTCCTAGGCCTGGAAGAGAGTTGGATCAGAAGTGGAGCAGCCAGGACTGAAACCGGCGCCTATAAAGCACTGCAGGCAGTGGCTTTACATGCTATGCCCCAGCGCTGGCCCCCACAAATTTTCAGTGTTTACAATAGGTTTTGAAGGCTCACAAAGCGTGAAATCTTTGGCAAGCATCTTGCCAAAATAAGCTTATTTTAGCATAAAATGCAGTGGCAAAATTTAAAGGAATGGTACTTGGCAACCTGATGAAAATGCAAAAGAAACAGTTTTTCAGTGGTAGTCCTCTTTATTTATCCTTGTGCTTCCAATTTGCTTGGCTGCCAGTGTCTTAAGTATATTCCATCAGGAGTTTCAT